AGTATTGAAATGAAGTGTGTGGAATATTAAAGGGGAAGTGTGTAAATATGGAAATGTGAATAGTGTGTGTGTTTGAAAGTATGTATGTGTGCTAGCAAGTGAGTAAAGGTGTAGTGAAAGCAAAGTATGTGCAGGTGAATAGTGAAGTGTACAGATGACTATGAAAAGAATCATGTTCGTGTAAAAATAATGAATTTTAGGTGTATTAGAAAATTTTTTGTGTGTAAGATCGAGAAGTTTGTGTATAGTTTGATAAGTGAATTAGGTGGTTTTGAAAAGTGAAAAGTGAAATGAGTTTTGTGTTTAAATTTGAAAACTGAAACTGGAGAAGTGTGTTCGTAGTTGAAAAGTGAAAGTGTATTATTTAAATGAAAAGTTTAGTGTATGATCTTTGATTGGTAAAGTGAAGATTGATTGTTGGAGAATGAAAAATATTTTTTTCAAAAATATGATTTGTAAGGGAGAGGAAGTGTGATTTGTGGAGTTTTGATATAGTAAAGTGTTTTGACAGATTTATTTTTTGAAATGTGATTGTGTGATCTTTGAAAGGTAAAAGATGTATGCTTTGGAGAGTGAATTATGAATGTGAGTTTTAAAGATGATTTTTGTGTATATGTGTTCGAGAGAGTAACTTGTGTTAGAGGTGAGTTAGTTGGAAATTTACTACAAAATAAAGTGTTGAAAAGTAAAAGTTCTATTTCCCTCCCTACCCTTTCTCTCTCTCTCTCTCTCTCTCTCTCTCTCTCTCTCTCTCTCTCTCTCTCTCTCCTTCTTCTTGCCCATTCTTGTGCCTTAGGGTGAATGTTGGAAAATACAAAGTTTACTCTTAAAAGTAAAAAGTTTAAAGTGCAATCAACCAAACTAGTGTTCAAGCTCGAAAATGGTATGTTTTGATTTAAATCATAAATTTCCTTTAATTCACATATAATTATTAAATGTGTTTCTAATACATGTTTATTCTTTCTATTTGCATGAACTATGTAGAATGGTATCGATTAACAAAGAAAAAAGGAAAAGGGACAAAGACATCAGTCACCCCCATCCAATCGGGTGTGGGTGCTATAGGAAAAAATACCGGACATTGGTTCTATTACACTGTAAGTATTCTAAAACTTAGATAAACTTTAAGGCCCAAAAATCTTGGTGTGATTTTTCGAATTGCTAACCATAGGGCCCTATTAAAACCTTAGTTTTTTTTATTATACATATTAAATTAGAAAACTACTTGTAAATTATTTTTGTTCAGTTATTTAGATTTTATTTTGTTATTTATAACCCAAAACAAATTTACAGTCACGCGTATGTCCAAAGGGTTAGTAATAATACTTTTCATCCAAAACGACATTAGTGACACTTCAAGCAAAAATTAAGGATGGGTCTTAGAGAACTTATATTTAGGATGCATGCATATTTTAGGAAATAAAACACTAAACATAGAAAATTTAGTGAGACCTCATTTTTAGATTAGTGAATACATTTAACCTTAACGCAATCAATCCTAAATAAAAATCAAATAATAATTAAAATTCTCTTTAAAAATTGAAAATTATAACCATAAAAAAAATTGAAACCAACTATAAGATAAATGTATGAATTAAGATTATGAAAATAGTAGGGATAAATTAATTATTAAATTAAAATAAAAATCACTAGAATTAAAATAGTAATAATAATAATAATAATAATAGTAATAATAATAATAATAATAATAATCATTAAAAATTTTATAAATCATTAAAAAAACTTTAATAAATCATTAAATTAAATTTTCTAAAGGATAAGAATAGTTAATTAAGACACCCTAAATAACTAATCTTATTAAACATTCTTAATAGTTAAAATTCAATTTAAAACAAATTTCAAAATTCTAAAGACACTAAAACCTAAATCTGAGCATAAAAATAAAAATCCCTTGATCTTTTAACAAACTAAATTTACTCAATTAGAAAACTCCAACTAAAAAGAAAAATAAACTTAGGATATATCCAAACCATACAGCCTACTACACACAATTAGATTTATTTTCTAGGACAACTGATTCTAGCTATAGTTTAGGCAGTGTTTATTTTCTTACTACTGTGTGATGGGCTTTCTTGTGGATTTCACTACATATATGTTATAATGGTTAGTGTGTTTGTTTATTCACTTACTCCTACAATCTGAGAATTGATGTGATGGGACATAAATTACCCCAAGGTTAGGAATGTTTTGAAAGCTCAAAAAATTTTATCCAAGTGGCCATGCTCATGCAAGGCTAAATAAGAGGGGGTAAATTAAATATTTAAATTTACAAAAATTTTTTTGCAAATGCAAAATGCTAAGCCCTCTTTAAAATTAAAGAATATGGCCTAGTGTGTTTGGTGATTTTAATTTAAATGAGAATATAATTACTTGGGATGATTTTATTATAACTATTTAGGATAACCTTGCAAATAATCTAGATTTTCTTTTTTATTTGAGATATAATGTAAATGAGTTTGCAAAAAAAGTTGGAATGTAAAATTGACTTGAAAGTGTGATATCACATCATACTTGGAATTTAAAGAGAAGAGAATATCCCTTAGTGGGAATGTTCTCTTATATTTGGAAAGTCAAGTTAGGATAATTTTAATATCCAAAGGGAATATAAAATACCCCTTCAGGAACAAGTTTCTTTTTTTTTAATTGGAATCATGTCCCGCGATTTTCTAGTGAGAGAGAGTCCAGTTTTCTAGTGAGAGAAAACCCTTTTTTCTTTTTGAATTTTCTCTCCCGCGGTTTTTCCTCCGGCTGGTGGCGCCGTCGCCGGTAGCTTCTTGGCGTCCTCGGCCGATGCCATGGCAGCTCCGTGTCATTCCAGTCCTCCCAGATTGGGCGGTAAAGGAAGAGGTGGTTTGATGATCAGAGAAGGTTTGTATTCGGTGATCAAGCCAATGGTGATTGAAGGAAAAGGCAAGAAGATTGTGGAAGAAGATTGTTCTAAACAGGCAGTCGTGGATTCTTTTGAACATAATCTGAATTATGTTCCTAACAGTACTGAATCATCGGAGATAAAGAATACCATCTTCAAGGTTAATGATTTTTCTGGTTTAAATCGTCAAGATCAAGATAGGGGAGTTTTCAACCCTTTGAAAGAAGGAATTTCAGGTTCTTTTAACAGTTCTGATAAGGATCCTTTGAATGAATCCTTGAATTATAAAGAACAAACAGTAGCTGAAGAGATTACTGGAGCTTGGTTGAAGCCAAAGCATATCAAGATTGATTTCAAAAATGAGCAGGTTGAAATTTCGGAGGATGGTATTGCAGTAAAGCTTAATCCAGTGGCTGAAGAAAAAAATTCTGAGGTGTTGAAGAACTCTATTGTTATTAAAGTTCTGGGAGGTAATGTCCCTTATTCAGCCTGTAGTTTTGATTTGAGAAAATAATGGAACCAATTTGGTGGTTTTCACATGACCTCAATCAGAATGAATTTGATACTTTGCTCATTTAAAAATAATGATGCGGTTGATGAAGTCTTAAACGGTGGACCATGGTATGTAAATGGGTATATTGTTGGTATGGATCGTTGGTCTCCTGCATTTGATCCATATTCATTTAAAGGAATCTCAGCCCCGGTGTGGATCAGACTATCGTGCCTACTTCTATACTACTGGGATGAAGACAGTCTTGCAAGTATTGCTTCTCGATTTGGCACACCTCTATACTTGGATGGAAATACTTTTCGGTGGGGAAAGAAGGAATTTGCTCGTATATGTGTGAAGATAGATCTGGAAAAAAAGCTCCCAAATGGTGTTTGGATTGATGGCCTTGCCGGAAGATTCTTCCAAAGAGTAGAATATGAGAAAATAAACTTACTTTGCTATCATTGTGGATGTGCAGGACATGAACTGAACACATGTCCTGAGAAGGTTATACAGGGCATTAAAAATCAATCTAAGAACACGTCTGAAGTTATCACTACGGCAGGGAAGAAAATTGGTGGAGAAAATCAAAATGCTGTGACGAATGTGGAGTATGGTCCATGGATTCATGTACAGTTTAAGAACAGACGGAATTACAACAATTTTAATGGCAATAGAATTGAAAAAAGCATCAGCAACAAAGAGAAGAATGTTATGGGGAAACAAATTCGGACAGTTGGTTTACAAGTGCAGATTGTTAAAGAAATTCATATTCCTGAAAATGTTACAGACATTGAAGGAAATGCTGATATGGAAGTTAATCTGGGAACTGACAGAGAAGGTATTCGACTGAATAATGCTTTTGAAATTCTAAGTGAAAATAAGGAACTTGAATGTCCTGAGCTACAGGATGCTGATAAAAATTTGCTGATTAAAAGGAAGGAGGATATGAAAGATAATGCTATGAATGAAGGTAAATCCACTTTGTCTAATTCTGCTAGAATTAAACTTACCAAGGAACTGAAATCATTGGGCCCGGTTGATCAAGATATTAAGAAGAAAAAGAGAGATGGACGTATGGTGTCCATGAGAGGGGTGAGTTCCCCTTCACTTGTTTAAATGTCTTCCCTTTTATTCTGGAACTGCAGAGGAGCTAGGAGGAGAGAAGCTGCTCTGTATTTAAAGGAAGTGGTTAAAGATCAGGATGTTTTTTTCATTGGTCTTATGGAAATGAAAATTAGTAGTATCAATAGGATGGATGTTGATGTCCTTATTGGTAAAGATTGGGATTTCTTTCATCTCCCTTCGATGGGACTTTCTGGTGGCATTTTAGTTCTTTGGAATTCAAAAATTGTTAACTTTGTGGTTAATCATACTTCTTCTCAGATGATTGTGGGAGATTTATCTATCCCTAGACTGGGATCTTGGAGAATTGCTACTGTCTATGGTAGTAGATGTTGCAAGGAACGTGAAAGTTTATGGGGATTACTTAATAATTGTATGACCAGATCTACTCCTTCTATCATTGCTGGGGACTTCAATTGTGTGCTTAATAAGGATGAGAAAAGAGGTGGCAAGAGGTTCCTTTTTACTAAAGGACCTTGAGATATGAAGTAATTCATGACTAGCAATGATTTCCATGATGTGGGAATCATTGAACCAAGGTATACTTGGTGTAATAATAAGGAAGGGAATTCTAAAATCTGGGAGAGGCTGGACAGATGTATTCTGAATTCTACAGCCTTGAAATTACTTCCTACTGCTGCTACTAGACATCTTGCTATGGTGGCATCGGATCATAGCCTCATTATCCTCAAGATGAATGATAAGGTACGGTTAAACTCTAAAATTATAAGGTTTGAAGATACTTGGAGATTGTATCCAGCGGCTAGAAGCATTGTTTATCACTCATGGAGGGAGAAGGATGGTGGAGAGGAAGGCTTGATTCTTCAAAAGAAGATTAACAAAACTTTGAAGGCCTTATTCTTTTGGAGTAGAAGTAAATGCAAAGACTTAAATGATCTTAAAGTGAAGTTGAAGATGGAAATTCTGGAACTTCAAACTAAAGAAGCCTTGGGGATTGGGTGGACAAATCAAGACTTGCTTTTACTTAGAAGCAAAATTCATGATCTCAATGTTACCTTGAAGAGATTATCTACTTGGTGGAATCAAAGAGCCAAGGCTAGATGGATTGAAGAAGGTGATTTTAACTCCAAACTTTTCCATAATTTTGCTTCAATCTTGGAAAATACCACCAATTCTCGTAATCCGAAGGGAAGTTTAAGGAAGCATCATATTGATTTCTCATCTTTTGGTGGGGGGCACCAAGAAATATAAGACTCCCTAAGGAGATTAGTGCTCCAGTTAGAAAGAGAAGGACTAGCTTTGGTAATGGCTACATAAAGAGCATTAGCAGCACTGAATAAGAAGGAAGAGCAGATTTTCCATGCTTTTATCTCATTCCTATTTTTCCAAGAGAAGTATACAATAGTACAATAAATTTGTACCACACCCAGATTTTTTCCAGAAATTTTTTTTAAGCTCAATAAGGCAATGATCCATGGAATTAAAAAAAGGAATAGGAATACCCAAGCAATGAGCTGATTGATGATTTCCACCAAATACTTGACATTGTACACTGATATGCTCATAATTTCTCAATAGCACAACCTCTAGCAACATAAATCATCTTCAAGAAGCTTACGATTTTAAGATAACAGTTGGTAGGAATAGAAGCATTGCAAGTCTCCACCAAAACATTTCCCACCTTCTTGCTAAGTTTGAGTTTGTTGAGCCACTTGTAATAACCATCTTCCATTAAATTGAATCTTCTATTTAAAACTTGTTCAAAAGGCCAAACCCGAGACTGTTTTCCCATGACAGAATTTCTGCAATTCCACTGTGTCAGCACTGCAGGGATTAATTTGTTATGTTGATGATAGCTTTCAATAATTCTGTATGGAACCATCTCTAAAGTAAAGTATAATTCCATTGGCCATTCTCATCATTAGCTGTTGAACACATTTTCCTTCCAAAGCAAAGCAATCAGCAAACGTCGGCATTGATTGATACATTTGTCATAAATCCAATATCATTCAAACACATTAATAATCTTTTGACATTACCAATGTTCCATCTAAAAATGTTTTTGAGAAACTTACTACCATCGAGAAGGATTTCCAAGCTTTAGAAGAGTCCTTTTTCTAGTATCTTTCAAGATACTATTACCATATTTAGATCTCATAACTCTATGAAAAAGAGTATCAGGTTTTTTTTAAAAAATTCCAAGAAAGATTAGCTCTTAAAGGACCCATTTTCAAGGGTTGGTGAATGTAAACCTAAGCCTCCATACTTCTTGGTTTACACAGATTTTCCAATTAATTTAGTGAATACCATAACTACCATCTTGCTTATTCCAAATAAAATTTCTACAAAGTTTTCCAAGTAGAAAACACCTTCTTTGGGATCATGGAATGAGTAATCAAAAAATAGCATTGTTAAAAAGAACTAGTGAATAAGGAGTAATCTTACCACCCAAAGAAAGAAATTTCTTTCCCAAGTATTAAGCCTATCCATCATGTTAGTCAAGACTTCATGAAAATCTGCAGCCCTTAAACGGTTAAGAGATAATTTGATTCCAAGATAGCTCAATCTCCTTAACTACTTTGAAATCTCAAAATTTTAGTAACCTTCTTCCTCATCCGATTATTAACAGCATTTCCAAACATGATTGAGATTTATTGGTATTGACTCTTTGACCGGTCCAACAACAAAAATCATCCATAATATTCTTCACCTCCTTAGCAATATCTTTGAAACTTGTGAAAAGATAATAACATCATCAGCATATAAAGATGAGTAATTCTTGGACTCCTTGGAGAGATAATTAATTCCAATATTATTACCCATTTCATGAATAGAATTGGAAAGCAATTGAGAGCACAAAATTATTGAGGTTAAGGGGATAATGGACATCCTTGACGAAACCACACTATAAGCCATAATCCATTTGGAATTTCTTCCATTAATAATGAATAGAGAATCTAACATCAAGTACAATTCCCATAATGAGATTAGCAAAGTAAGAAGGGAATCATACCATTTGAGGACATTATCAAGAGTCGGCCAAACCGATGCTATCATAAGCTTGTTTCCATATCAAGCTTAAGAGCCATCAAAGCCCTTCTTATTCTTGGAGATATTTTAACTTGTGAACTATCTCTTGAGCCAAGAAGAGTTTTCAGAAATAGATCTTCCAGGAATAAAGCCATTTTGTTCTTCAGAAATCAATCTTTTGGAACATACAGAGTCTTCAATCTGTTGACTATCATAGAAGCAACACACTTGTAGTTGTGCTGGCAAAGACTAACTAGGACAATAATTGGATGGAGGCAAGGGAATTTTTAATTTTTAGCAAATCCAAAACAATAGAGTATCTTTCCAACTCTTTCTCATACATCCCTTAGTGGAAAAAACCAATTGACAGCATTCCATAATTCTTTCAAAGAATATCCCAATAATGCTTGTAAAAGGAGCATGTAAGGCCGTCCGAACCTGGGGAATGATTATTCACTTGTTGGAAAGACAGATTTCTTGAGCTCCAATCACAAAAAAGCCAAGTTAAAGAGCCTGGAAATCTTCATTTGTTTTAATTTTTGGTGGTCCATATCTCGCGGCCAACCCGAGAGTGACAGATTCTCTTCTTTTCATTTTGCTTTCAAAATGGTTGAAATAACACCTTTTTCAATGTCTTCTTGCTTCAATTTTGGCGGC